ATGCGACCTCGCTGGCATGATAGGAGACCTTTTCATAGTGCCAAACACACCTGATATGGTACTGTTATAGTTAGATGTGATAGGACATGTCAACTAACCCTTGTATTTGCCTCATGAAGTGATGCACAAGGAAATATCCTCTATTAAGCAGGTTTGCTGTCGCCAAGCACAGTCATTCTCCTGTCTGTTGTCCCATAACACAAGTCATCTCCCTTGGCAGCAGGTTCTCAACTAGCACAAGATAATCTACAGGGCCAAATAAACAACCCTAATAAAACAACTTGTGTAGCATTAGGTATTAAACAAACATCTGCGTAATTTGTGAAGAAAACGAAATTCACCAGAGGAAGTGGTAGCTTATACTGCAGAGCTGCTGTAGGCCGTCGGTGTTTGTTTATGCTGTAAGTCTGTGGAACGTCCTATAAATAAAGCATGCGGTGATTGATATAGTGGCTCCAGCGCTTCGCTTCACCATGCAGCTGTAGGAGTTTTTGTATGCTCAAGAATAAAAGGAGCACAACATACATCTGAAATCCAGTTTAAAGACAATTTAAAAACAGGTGCTTTATCCATTAACAATGACTATTTATAGGATCCTACTGTATATGGCTGTACTGAAGCAGAGGGTTGCATTGATCATTCCTGAATCATGGAATCTGGAGAATGGAGTCAAACTCCCATCCATGGAGGATTTTCTGTGTTAATAATTAAATGTTTGGGATGAAATCACCCTGGCCTCAAAGGCTGTCTGGCGTTTCTTTAAGCTCATTATGAGCAGCTCAGAATAGAATATGGCATGATTCACTGTATATAGTGTGCTTCTCATACATGCTGGACTGTTGAATTGTCACAAAGGTTCAAAGATCCCAATTAGCACTGGAGTATCATGCACAAAGACATTCATATTGTATGGATTTTTTTCTGATATTCTTGTTACATGACCAGATACACAAATGAATTAAAGAAATCTTAAAGGTACACTATGTGAGTTTGGGCCCTATAGCGGTTAAAAAACAAAACTGCATGTATTTTGTGGTTTTGTTTGTGTTTTGGCTCTGCGACCGTGACTGTGCCGATGAATATGGTTATATCTACTGCTCATAAAACATTTACTACTAAGCTTTAGAATATCCGGTTTAGATGGAAAGGATATCAGGCTGACTAGCTGAAGAGGTTACTGTAGCTATACACTTTAATAGACATGGTACTTGAAAATAAATTTCAGCACAATACTACAACAAACATATGAAATGACCCTTCACAATAGATAATGCTTCACAATGAACTCTGTTAGAGAGCTACATATTGCGATGTATCTGTTAAAATAAAATACCTTGCTCACCTGATAAACAAAGTAATGAAGTCATCTCCATGTCGCTTTTACGACCATCAGTTTTCACCATTTCCAAAAAGCCAAGTCAGTGTTGATTCTTGTTTTATTACGAGCTCCTTTTGCCTTCTCTTTTTGAGGTATTTTGTTGAACAAATTGCCAACTGAGGGGGAACAAAGAGCTGAGAAAATCGTGTTTTTTTCCTACAACGTGCATAAGCAATGCTTTTATCGCCTCCTTTTTTGCCTTTTTCAGAAGATGCGTAATAGCGTAGTATGTACGATATTGAAATTTTACATTATTTCTGTGAACTTAGAAAGGGAATTTAGGCAAATTTGCTAAAGATTACTTTTATCGGTGTAATTAAATTATTAGGGTTTTTAATGATTTACCTTATGTGAGCATTAGATGATGGCAAAGGCTGAATGGACAATAAAAGAAATGTACACACAATTAAATATACAATATTGACTGATTTAAAAAAATAATAATATCAGTCAATAACTCGTATAGTACCAAGATATCCCTATTAAAAATAGAGACTTCCTTGTTGTGTATAGTGTATCTACATGTAAATGTACATGTATGTTATTATGCTGATTTTGTATCTGTGACTCCCTGTCGGTAGTTGTTCATTCAGGATTTCATGGGGTGATTTCCATTGTCTGAGGAAAAATTCATTCTTTACTCTGAGACTGCCTCTATTTCTCTTCCAACAGTCACAGGATGTGCTATTTTTGTTGTCAACTTGTGTAAAGGTAAAGAGGCAGAACAGCTGCTTAATATTGGGATCATCTGGGACTACATGTCTCACAGCTTTGCTGGGAAACCTTTAGTTGTGTCTTCCTGCTCAAAGTCTTTTGTTTGAAACTTCTGCTTCATTGTTCTTTTGTCATACTGTTTGCCCAGAACTGGTAGAGCACCAATACTGGGCAAACAGTATATGACAAAAGAACAAAGGAGAACTTATATTAATATTGACTCGACTGATGACACCAAACAACCCATCAGTAACGGTTATCTGCACTCCAGACTGTGGAGACACCAGGCTGTCAACAGTGGCTCACGGGCACATTATCATGTCTCTCTTCCTTTTTTGGTCATACTTTTTTGTCTGAGAGATTTTCTATGCCTAAAAAGAGTGGCATGTTTAATCAGTCAAACTGCTAAGTGTGTCTAAATCTCTTAACTATAATTGAAGCTTGTTATGTTCTGTTCTGCATGGTTGCTGCCGTGGCATCTTGGCAGACTCATTTGTCTGGAGATCGTTTTTAGCTGGGCAAGATATTGGAGTACACTATTATTCTTTCTTATGTTTCATTTTATATCTGTAATCTGTAAGGTTGTATCAAGGGAAATGCTAGTCATTATGACGCCCAATTCTGGGTGTTTATGCTTATAGATGATTATTACAGATTTACATTGTAATGATTCTTAGCAGATCTTGGATTTAAAAGAATTTGACTCTGAAAGAATGTTTTTGAAAGAAGTCTCTTATACTCACCAAGGCTACATTTTATTTGATGAAAAATACAGTTAAAACTAATATTGTGAAATATATATATACAAATTAGGTTCACAGTGTAACGTTCTCAAAATTCACGGTTCGGTTCAATATACAGTGGTGTCACGGTTCGGTACCTTTTCGATACAGCAAAAAGAAAGAAATGCCAGAGAAATTTCCTATTTATTAAAAGAAAAATTATTTTTAAATAAATGTGAGTTTTCCTACATCTTGAAACTTTTAGTTTTATAAATGGGGGTAATCTTTGAAGGATGAGCAATAATGTGTAATATTTGTAAAAACATAATATTTGACTTTTTAAGTGCTGGAAAAAGATGTGTGATATACTTGAAAGCATTTTTACTAATTTCTGCCAAACCTCCATGGTTACAGTTAGTGTTAATACATTAAATCCATGGTGAATGTTGCTGATCGGTGGACTTACGGCCTAGTTCATTCATGGAACAATGTTTCTCCTGGTTTCCACGTCAGCGCTGTTTGATCCGTTAATAACGGAGACATTTGAATGCTTCTCAGATCTCGCAGCTTTGTTATTACTTCAGTGGCGAATTCAAATGCTTTGTTTACTGGATCTCTCCGCGCTGTAGAAACAGTCAAGATCGGCTCGCGCTGCATCGGTCCAAACTGATAAACGGTCCGTGAAGCACAAAATAATGAGTTTCGTTCCGCTTTCATTACGTTTGCTATTTGATGTTGCGCAACGTTGTGGTGGTTTTTGGTCGGCAGGAAAAATTGTCCAACGAATCGTTCGGTTTGTAATGCGCATTGCGTACCGAACCGAAAGCCTTGTACAAACGAATACGTGTATTACACCCCTACAAATATACCTAAGACAGCAAAGCTGAATTTTCAACATTATTACTCCAGTCTTGTGTCACATGATCCTTCAGAAATAATTCTAATATGCTGATTTGCTGCTCAAGAAACATTTCATATTATTTATCAATGCTGAATACAATTTTGAAAACTGCTTCATATTTTTGTGAAATCTGTCTCTTTTCATGATGATGAATAGAACGTTCAAAAGAACAGCATTTATTTGAAATATATATTTTTTGTAACTTTATAAATGTCTACTGTCATACTTTATAAATCTTACTGACCTCAAACGTTTATGGTAATGCACATAATATTGCAATGTGCAAAACAGCATGCATGCTGGTGTGAGACACTCAAAAGACAGCACAACGTTAGCATGCTATCTAAACCACCAGCACCACCAATATAAATAGCAAAATATGAAGGATTTAATTCAGTTTGTTTGAAAAATGAGAGCATTTGTTTCATCATCACATTAGTCTTCAGAAACTTCAGAAACATGGCATTATAGATACCTTGGTCCTCCCTTTTGTACTCCATGAACAAGGTAAATGTTTGATATCCACAACAAAGATCGTTGGCCTTGTGCTAATGCACAGGAAATGCCTTTGTTGGGAGAAACTAATCAGATTTCTGTAATGTGAAAGCATCCGTCATACTCAATTATCCCCTTGTAGTGCCCACAGGTCCACATAGAGGCCAGAAAGGCCATTTACAATATATTTGAAAGGTTACCGAAGAACATTCGCAAAAATCAATTGGAAATGCAAGTCTAGATTATGCACCTTCACTGTGAAGTTAGTTTGCAAACCATTTTCCTCACAGAACAAACAAGCAGCAGGCCAGAATAGTAGATGTTTTTTTTTTTGTCTTGTAGTGATCATGTTTTTGAGGATGAATAGTTTCAGCCTCCTCATGATTCAGAAAGCTTTAAGATGCTTTAAGGGAGAGAACAGCTAATTTCTGGCAAACAGTAGGTCACTTATTCTCTAGATAAATCGAGTCTTTCTTCCTCCTGAGGCGTGACATGCGGGAATGCTACACATTAATCTGGACATGGGTGGGCTCAGTAAATTCCACTCATAATATCTTCTCCCTCAACTGCTTTGCTCCCACATTTGACATGGGAACATGGGTGGCGTGGTCCAATCAGAAGTGGTCTTCCCCATGCCCCATTTCCTGTTTAGGAGTCACATTCAAATGATATTCTGAAGGGGCTTAGGGAATAGGGATCACAAAATTATTTTGTGGATTCGACTTTTCTTTGACAGTACAAAGTTTAGGCCTATTGACAAATCTGTGTGTTTTGATGTTTTTTTTATTAGCATGGGGCGCAGTGGATGTGAGCACGGAAGACAGGGTGGATGTATATTTAAAAGACCAAGTCAAGATCCCCTGTGTGTACATTCTGAAGGAACCAGCAATGATGATAGTCTGGTTTACGGTGAGAAACAGGCATATTCACATTTTACAATAACTTTTGTTTTACAATTATCCCCCCAAAAATCTGAAAATAATACTGATCTTTGCTGAAGTATCTTATTCTTGTTACTGTAATGCAGTAACTCAGTACAATTACTCATGCAATGTACACTTATATTGTTGTTTACATTTTTTTTTATAAAAGTATGAAATATTTACAATAAAAAAATAAAAAATAATGAAGAATATTTCCAAAAATGTAAATTGAGAATGATCTTTTTCATTGAGAATGAGATATTATATTTCTGCGTATCTTTTGATTTTAGGGTGAAAATGTATATATTGTAAAAATTGCCTTTTTTTTTCTTTTCTTTTTTTTTTGCAATTTGTACAATATATAATTTTTCACCCAAGATTCACCCAAATAACCTCAATAGAATATACAAACAAATCCATAGACATACAATACATTTGGAAATCTGAACATCACTATTTTTGACTTTGTACAGAAATTGCCAGGCAAGGACCAAAGCAGGATAAGAATCTACTACTATGATAATCAGACTGAGATCATCGAAGAGGGCAGTGATTATGCCGGGAGGATCCAAGTCAGTCACTCTCATGACGCTCAGAATGCTGCCGGAAGCGCCGTTCTGACCATTGACACGGTGGAACTGAGTGACCAGAGGGAGTTCATCTGCATGGTGCACAATGTGTTGAAGGACAGTGGTGAAGGACACACTCGTCTCCAAGTATTCAGTAAGACAAAACAGGCTTGTCCCTTGTAGAAGAGCCTGGCCAGGCTGAGGGATCACCATCATAATGCTGCTTGACCTGTTTCACCTTTATCCTAACACTAAACCGCTCTCTCTTTTAGACTCGCCATCTCTGCCTGTGATTGAACTTACACACACAGGGATTTCTGTTACTGAAGAGGAGCCATCAAAGGTAGAGCTCAACACAACCACTTGCTTTTGAACATTTTCATTAACTTTACATAATTATGGTATTTTTACTCAGGTTGCAAAATGTAAAGTTGACAACGGGTATCCTAGACCCAACATCACATGGTACAAGGACAGATTCCCTCTCCAACCCTCAAATGGTGGTAAATACAGGGTCATTCAGTCAACATTCTACAATACAAAATGTGATTTTATATTGCAAATGACATGTTGACAAGCAAATGACAAGATGAATGTTTTGCAATGACAAAACCCATATGCATCCCCTTTAGAGATAGAGATCAAGGAGTCAGTGACAGTCAAAACCAGTGGCCTGGTCGCAGTTGAGAGTCAACTTTTCATGAAGGTGAAAAGGGAAGATGAAGATGCCATTTTTTACTGTGAGGTCCAATACTTTGTCCCTGGTGCATCAAAAATGGCAGAGTCCAAACCAATCGAAATCCAAGTTTTTTGTAAGTCAACATCTTTTCAGCCTATAATAACTTTAAAGAGCTAGTTCTCACAAAAAATGAAATAGTCATCATCATTTACTCATTCTCATGTCATTCCAAACCTGTATTACTTTCTTTCTCCTGTGGATTTACAGCAGAATTATCATTTATTTGTGGACAGTGCTCTGTGCTGCCATCTATTGAATCTACCAAGCACAATGCACAGTGTCTTACTATTTCACTTAATCATTTCAGACCCTACAACAGAGGTAACACTGTCCATAAATCCACCCGACAGGCTTATAAAAGAAGGCGACACCGTGGAGATCCATTGTGAGGGAAATGGAAAACCTCAGCCCATTTTAAGTTTCACTTTCAAACATGAAGAGGTAATATTTATTCAAGATGTAATCATACATGTTATGTCTGCCTAACATGACGTGTACGAACTTCAGCTAACATTCTAGCAAGGCTCTCTTAGGGTTATATTCTTCAAATGACTTTAATAGAATGATCGTTCAAAGTTATCTGGTCTTTAATAATGTTCTCAAAACGTTATTTATGCATTGTTTATTGGACTTGTTTCTAAAATGTTTTAGTTGGACGTTCGTCTAACGGTTTTAAATGTTACTACTTGTTCAAAAAAGGATTTTATAAGTGTTCAGACAGAGAACATTCAGAAATGTTTTCATAATTTAATGGGAACGTTAGCAAAACGTTCCCAGAACATATTTTTGTTAGCTGGACATATTTGATATGGACATAACTTTGACAATCTCGGGCTGATAACAGAATACCTGATTGAAATGTTGAAACATGCATTTTCTGTGAAAAGCGCCATACAAATGACCTTAAATGTCAACTGTTCTGAAATCTCTCAACCATGTGAAAATATACATTTCATCACCTGCAGTTCTGGAGTACATCGCTGTTTTAATTATTTTCAGATGTTGGGTGAAGAGAATGGAATACGGATTCTGGAAAACATCACGCGATCAGACAGCGGGACGTATGAGTGCTTGTCATTAGACCTTGACACAGGCAATGACGCTGAGGGCTCCATCAATATCACAGTACACTGTAAGAGCACGTTCCTCAGCAGTTCCTGGTATTGGCAGATTTTGGTGAGATTATGTCGGCTTTTCTCTCCATGGTGAGAACACACTTTTTTTTCTTCTTTTTTTTTTTTAGATCTGGATCATATTGTGGTGACACCAGAGGAGACAGTTCTGGACCAGATGCAAGATCTCACCTTAACCTGCAATGCCCTGTCTTCTTTACCCACATACACAACATGGATTAAGGTACAACAATAAGATGGACTAAAAAACAATCACATAAATGATCTCATTTATCTATTTTAGGATGCTGGAAATACACTACCGTTCAAACATTTGGAGTCAGTAAGATTTGTTTGATTTTGTTTTTGTTTAAATAACTCTCCAAGGCTACATTTATTTGATCAAAAATAGTAATATTGTGAAATACTATTACAATTTAAAAAAACGTTTTCTATTTTAATGTTTTTAAATGTCATTTACGGCAAAGACGTTTCTCCAGTCTTCGTATGTTAACATGATCCTTCAGAAATCATTCTAATATGCTGATTTCTTTGCTCAAGAAACATTCCTTTATCATTGTTAAAAACACATTTGTGCTGCTTAATGTTTTTGAAGAAACCGTGATACATTTTTTTTCATGTTTTTTTGATGAATAAATAAGAACAGCTCAAAAGAACAGCATTTATTTTAAATATAATTATTTTGTAACAATATAAAATAATTTACTGTCACTTTTAATTTAGACTGTCACTTTTAAACAAATTAATGCATCCTTGAATAAAAGTAATAATTTATTTTTTTGACAAATAATTACTGACCCCAAACTTTTAAAAGTGTAGACCACTAAGATCATTACACCTAGACCCAAATCAAGAGTTTTAAAACCCAGACTTTAATAATACGACTCAAATATAAACCAAGACCACGTTTATGTGTTTTCCAAAGATCTCAAGACCAAGACACAAGATCAAAACTACAACATAAATAATATCCAGCATGAATACAAACAGTGCTCTTGAAATGCTCAAGTTTGTAAACAGATCTATTTGACGGTGTATTTCAATGCAGGATGGCTGGTCAGAAGTGGTAGAGGGGCATGTTTTGGAGTTACACAATGCCTCCTATGACACCGCTGGGATGTATACGTGTGAAGTGATGGTCCCTTCCCTGCGTGAGCTACGAGAACAGAAGTCTGTGCAAATCAGTGTGCGAGGTGGGTTTGTGTGTGGCTCAGGTTCTGCTTACAAACCGTAACCATATGCACATACAAGGATAGTAATGGATTACTTTGGATTAATACACATACTATGTCTTAATGAAAGTCTACAAATTCAGGAACATTTCTTTCAGGGGTTGGGGTTAGAAAATTTCATTAGCTCAGTATAAAAACATCATCAATGTTACAGAAGAACAAACAAAAACCAAAAATGTTTGCTTTCATGACTAAAAATGTCTAAAACCTGCTTTAGGAAAGCCTAAGATAGCAGTGGGTTCGACCAATAATGCGGACCGTCCTGTTAACCTGACCTGCCATGCAGAAGGCTACCCAATCCCCAATATCACCTGGACACTCTCTGACCGATGGGTATCCTTACATCATCACTCTGTTTCTGACCAATCAGGGACAATTCCAAACATCTTTTGCTAGTAACTCATCTGAATTTAAGGGTAGTTTCCTTGAAAGCTTCATTGTAATTTTATTGTGCATTTGTGAGTGAAAACATGCTTAATCAGTTTCATAGATTCTTTAAAATGGATATTACCTTGACAATATATATATATAGACTGGCAAGCCTGTCCCTGTGCTGAATGTGGAGACCCAGAGTACAGACACTGGTGTTCTCAGCATGATCTCTGTGAAGGCCACGTCTGCACTCACAGCCAACTGCAGAGCCGACAATGAGATCGGGACAGACACCGGTTCTCTCAGCATTGATGCAAGTGAGTTTTTGTTTTCGGACTTTATGATTTCCTCTACTTAAAATGTATATTCTGTTTATGAATACTGTTACCACATTTGAAAAAACTAGATTCATCTTTGTCACATATTAACTCTAGTTCATGCAGTTGGTATCATGGACAAACAATATTCTTTTTACAGAATTGAAATGTTAAAAAAATATGTCTAATTATGGGTGTTTTCACACTTGATCCCTTTCAGGGGTCTGAGCGCAGTGATTTTTGGCCCATATGTGAACTCTCCAAACAATCTCAGACCCCTTTAAAGCGAACCGAACCGAGACCATCTCGGGAGGTGATCTGAGTACGGTTCTATTTCATCTTATGGTATGGTTCGCTAAAAACACGCAATCTGAACACAAACCGCTCTGGACTTGATTTTTTTTCGTTCACGAATCCCAATGTAGTTTGGTCATCAGATGCCTCCGTACAAATCGGCCGTTCATCATGACTGCTTCTTCTGGCAGATCTCTACAAATTATTCGTTCACAATCACACAACATACACTTGTTTAGTCATTTCAACTGTTTCCAAACTGGAAACACCCTTAAGTGTCGGTACATTTAAAATAAAATATTTCTATTTCTAATACTTCTAATGTGCATATTTTAAAATGTAATAAAAGCTGAATTTTCAGCATCATTACTCCAGTCTTCAGTGTCACTTTTTTTTTTTTTTGATGAAACCATGATAAATTCTCCCCCCCCCCTCTACTTTTATTTGAAGTAGAAAACTTTTGTAACATCGTCATGTCTTTAATGTGACTTTTGAACAATTGAATGTGTCCTCGCTGAATAAAATGATTAATTTCTTTAAAAAAAGAAAAGAATTTTGTTCATTGTTAGTTCATGTTAGCTATTGCATTAACTATACAACCTTAATTATGAAGTGTTTTGCACTCTTGATCATTACATAAATTATATTTTAATTTATGTGAATTTAACTTTAATTTGCTATTAAAATTGTTAGTTCATATTGGTTTTAACGTTCAGAATGTATTTGTAGCCTATATAAAATTGATTAGTTTATAAATGAACAAATCAAGACAAAAAAAAAAACATGTATTGCACAGAAAAAAAAGTATACAATTTATTTAAGTATTGTACATTTTAGGTTGAGTTAAATTATGCTAACAAATACAACCTTATTCATACCATCTTACTTTTGTAGTTGCACGTGTGACAACGACAACCCAAGCCATCAGCCCTAAAGGTATGTTTCTGAAGCTTTCACTCGAAAAAACTTTGAGATACTTGTAAATTCTACATCTACTTCCATGAATGCAGCGAGTCACCGTATTTAGACTGTAACAGAACACACATGAGCGTTTGGCATCAGGGCAAATGAGGCGAAGCAGCTACTCTCACTTTGGGATATCAGCTGACATTTGCGTTCCTTATGGCGGTCCTCAGAGCCCTTATCTCTGAGACTGTTTATGCCTGTAGTCAAGAAAATAAACAGCTATTAGAGCAAAATGAGCCTGTCTTAATGTCAGCGGTTGCTTCTAGCATCATGTTCTAACCAGATGCAACACAAGAGGTTAATAGCAATAATGTGTCTGTCAAAATATACAAGTAGCTGTATATTTTCATGTAGGCCAATGTGGACCAAAATTAAATGATTGACTATTAAAATATTATTCATTTTAAAATGTAATTAAGATATTATTTGGAAAATGTCCAATATATTACATTTTTACACATCATTTTTAAATAATATACTTTTATTTTTAATTGTAATAAATCCTAAAGAAATTAATTGAAATATTTGGAAAATTCTATTATATATATATATATATATATATATATATATATATATATATTATTGTTTTATTATTAATATGTTTATTTTATTAAAATGAAATAATATAATATTGCAAACAATATTAGGGAAATTGGGCTTTAGTAAGATAAATATATTATTTGTAATAAAAAGTATTGTAATATATATTATATATATATATATTTTTTTTAAATACAACTTTTTTCTACCCAAAAACTAAGACCATTGGCAACCCCTGAGCTCCCTAGACCACAGTTTAAACCCCACTGGTCTACCCTTAACAAGGAGAGCAGAGACAAGACACTAAAATGTACATGTTATACCAGTAACTTCATCTAAGGGTCCAGGACAGCACCCATGGTCTAATTATAATAAAACTGATGTATTAATATACTGCCTATGTGGTAACTCAATCCATTTGCGTCTTAGGTACTGACAAGGTACTGACTCTCATTCCCCTCTGACCCTCAGGTGGCAGTGGAGTAGCCATCGCAGTCATCATCATCTGCCTGCTCCTCATAGCCATACTGGGCAGTGTGCTCTACTTCCTCTACAAGAAAGGAAGGCTGCCCTGCGGACGCTCGGGAAAGCAGGATTTGTATGTGCTTTGATTAAAAGCAATTTATAAGAAATATGTTTGAATTTGTAGGTTCGTTTGATGCTGCAGAAATTACACACTGTACCTTTAAAATCAGTGTTGTTATTAACTTAAACTATTATTAAAATTGCTTTAAGCTGAAATCAAATATATGCAATAAAAAAATGTAACTTAAAAACCTTAAAGCTAAATAGTCTAAAAGTAGTCGCCTTAATGTCCTAGTATCCAATGTTTAGTCCACATTAAATGTGTCTGGAGAGATGTACATTTTTGCCAATACCATCATGACAGAAAACATGAATACCTCATCTGTTGCTTTTCTTTCCCCAGCACGAAGGAAAAGGCCAGCAAGGATGATATTGTGATGGAGATGAAGAGCGGTAAATCTGAAGAGGCGGTGCTTCTACAGGGAGTCAACGGAGACAAAAAGTCACCTACCGAATAGGTCATTGCTTCTGAGCAAAGATTCACATTACTAGCTCTTTTACAGCCCACTGAACTCAAATCCAATCTTAAACAAGACCCAAGATTTATAAGGCTGACACACAACGTGCCACGAAAACCTGATGATCTTTCCTTTTTTAATTAGAGTCAAAGACTGAAAACTACATGGACAAGTGGAGAGACGCTAGCGGCCTCTGTCCTACAGCGCTCCGTCTCAGGGTCAATCCCAACATGGAGGCGCAAAGACATCACAACATGTCCACATTTTCCCCTCTACTTGAATTCCTATTCAATTCTACTTTTTTCTGCCCATGTTTTGTATTTGACCTGCTAATCTGATTCAATATACAGCAAGCCGATCCAAAAGAGCACCAAGTTCATCATGAACGAGCACGCTCCCGTATTTCCAAATTGTACATATATATATATATATATATATGAAATACTGTATATATTTAGCTATTTAAAATGCCTGAAACAACATTTGAAAGATTGTGCCTGAATATCTTTTTGATAATGCAAGTCCCATTGTTTAGGGGCATTTGACAAGTGCCGAAGAATAGTTTTTTGCTATGTGCCGTCAATGTGTTTTGAACCTGCTCTCACCTCTGCCACATCATAGTCCATGCACTGAAACACTAAGATCCGTCTTCACTACTGTAAACATTCTTCTGGATCAGCGCTGAAAAAATGCCCAATGATGAAGCTTGAGGGCAATTTCTGGACAGATACATTTGTCAGGGAAAGTCTCTGACATGTTTGACCTTTTTCTAAATATGTAAGCAAAATGTTGGGTCCATGTCATGCCTATGTTTTTTTTTAATTATTATTATTAGCTATATCAAATTAAGTTCCTTATGTTCACTGTGAGAGCTGAGTGAGTTACATTCATGCCAAAGTTTGAGCTAAAAATGTCCCTATGTCCTGAGAGAAATGGAAGTTCCCTGTAGAGTTCAGCTGTATTTTGCCATTATTTTTTTACTGCAGTGACCTGCTGTCCTCATCTTGCACTGAATGTAAATATTAAAAGAAATACATAACCAACTTTCCCATTTTTATTTTATTTTAGAGGGAATATTAAAATGCATGTGGAAGTCTTCATTAATTTAACACATGGAGGGACAGTAGAAAAAAAAAATATTTTTATACTTTTTTTTTGGTCACAAATCAGTATTATATTATTAGATTTTTTTCTGATCCATATTTTGAAGTTGTACCAAAGCAGGTATCTTAAGCTATGCAGTATGTGCCCTGTACTGAAACCAAAGCAGACCCACAGGCTCTTATCATACGTTTCATTTCCTCTGGTATGCTACACCGTTTTTGTTTGTCAGTAGTATTTTTGTTAATGCTTGTTTTTGAATTGTCCTTAAATTTCTATTAAAATGGCTGGTTTACTCGAGCCTTAATTTTGTCAACGTTTGGCCTATTTATTTTTGTTAATCAAAAACAGCCCAGACAGCAACATAGTGTTGGCCCAGATCCGGTACGTGTGGATTTCACAACACTATGTTGCTGTCTGGGAGCTGTTCTAATATGCCTACAATAGTTGAAAATGTTCACTTTAAAAGTATGATGAAAACCATAATTTAAGCTTTTTATGTGAAATATTTACAGCTCAATGTATCCATAGTAAAACAATATACACAGGGAAGGGGCATGTCATTAATGAAAAATTGCCAATTTTTTAAAGTGATATAGACCCAACATATGAAAGTGAAATTGGTGACACAGGGGAAAATCAATAATATCAATTATTAAAACAATATTGAAACAAAATGAAATGTCTGGAATACTTAAACTGCCAGTTATTCACGTCAAAAGTAAGTAACAAACCTAAGTGCTGAAAATATTTTATACCTCCACCCCTCCCTATATTCACTTAACTGTGACAAAACTAATATAATTTTAAGTTTTTATTTGATCCAAAAAACAATTCTTATTAAATTGATAGTTCAGCCAAAACTGAAAATGTTGTCATCATTTACTCACCCTCATGTTGTTCCAAACCTGGATGAGTTTCTTTCTTCTGTTGAACACAAAAGAAGATATTTCAAAGAATGTTGGTAACCAGACAGCTGATGGACCCCTTTGACTTCCATAGTAGAAAAACAAAACAAAAAAGTCAATGGCTACCATCAGCTGTCTGGTTATCAACATTCTTCAAATTATTTTCTTTTGTGTTCAACAGAAGAAAGAAACTCATCCAGGTTTGTAACAACGTGAGGGTGAGTAAATCATGACACCATTTTCATTTTTGGGTTAACTATCCCTTTAATATTTGATCTTCAATCGTAATGGGGTTCACAAATTTTTGCAAGGCAAATTAGAAAGTGACAGATCTGTGCCATGTCTTACTAAAACAAACAAACAGGAGAACATGATATTTGTTCTATTGTTTTAATTAACAGTATAGCGCTGTGCATACTTCCAAAGTGATATGAGAATTAGCACAAAAGAAAGAAACCCTGAAATACTCAGGCAAGTTATGGCAAAATGAGGAGAGAGCTCCCTCTTGTGGTCTGATTAGAGACATTCTAGTAAACAGACAGATATTCACTATGATGTCACTGACCAAGCCAAAGAAGCGACAATGGAAATGTTTTCCAAAAATTCACCAGGGATATCATTCACTCTTTACACTTTAACAAGGCCTTTTTCTGGGTAGCAGAACAAAATTACAGACATATCTAAACATATGGCACTGCTCACAGTAATATTCACATCAGTAAACAAAAATAAAATTCTGACATGTACAGGAATGCAAAATGAAATAAAACATTGCCATTTCCACGTATTCTATGTATAAGTAACTTTACACGCTTGCTTTTAAAGTGACAGTATCATAGCACAAATTGGTACACTGTGCCAAATATTGTACACACAAACTCACACACGACCATCACACACCAATATCAAGAAATAGTAGTACAGTAAAATGAAATGATAAAAAAAAAAAAAGTATCTCATCTCTAGACTTCATATGTTGCAGTAAAAAAACAAAAAACCAGTATTAAACCATCATATGCTTCAAGGCAACAGAAACTACAAACCAAGAGTTATCATCCTACAACGTAAAATAAACAGCTCGCCTGACCATAAGCTCTCAAGGTTATGTGTGTACCTACAAGATGGAGACGTGGAAGTACCTGCAATCCCAGTGCAACACTTTCAAGAACACTAGGGGCTAGTAGGGAATAAACTGGGCCAGTTTTGATGTCGGTGACGGCAATCATGAATCCTCGAGTCCCACTTGAGAGACTCAGACTCACTTTAACGGATTACTAGTGCATTCAAATGTGCTGGTGCAATAACTTGAACAATTCAAGGGATGATTCACCCAAAAATTTTAATTGCATCATTTACTCAACCTCATGTCATTCCAAACCTGTATGACTTTCTTCTGTGGAACATAAGAAATTGTTAAGAATGTCTCAGTGTTTTTTCGCACATACAATGAAAGACAATGGGGACCAATTTTGTTTTAGACCCCACTGACTTTTGTATGGACAAAAACCAGCCACAGAGGAAAAAAACAAAAACAAAAAAACAACAGGTTTGGAAAACCATGAGGGTGAGAAAATGATGCTGATGTCACTGAGAGTGACTTTATAGTCTAAAATTGTTTTGACCCTGATTACGAGACAGACTTGCACTGGTTTAAAGTACGGAGTCACTAATGTAGATTTTGTTGAAATATACTATATTCCTGAGTACAAAGGGGAGATTGGGAAGAACCTTCTCCCGAACAGCAGGCGGACTATGGGCACTGCGATCATGGCTTGAACAGGGCTGCCACTGTAAGATCGCCGACAGGGTAAACACCACAGCCTCGTAGGACAAGGAAAGAACATAAATAAGGCCTTCTGCGATGAGCCCCGTGACACATTTCATCATTTCGATAAACGAAAACGCGTGTATTTCAAGCAAAACGCAACGTACCTGGATGAACACAAACACACACACATACACAGACTGAAAAAAAAAGAAAAAAAGAGCAGGGCTCACACCTGCGCAAGTTGCTTCTGATTTCAAGTATGCTACATTACCAAATTACACAGAACCGATACTGTCACTTTAAAATGGGTTAAACACAGTATTCACAAATGTACATTTAAGGCTTAATTGTTTAGCACTAACAATAATAGCAGCAGTAAAGCACTTCTGTATTAATAACAATAAATCAAATAATAATAATAACAACATTAATAATAACAATATATTAAGGTGATCAAATGAAATGGTTTCTAAGATGAACAGCTTCATACACAAGTCCGAACCTCCCCAAGAGTGATTTTAGTCCCCACCGAATACAGAAACTTGGCCAGGCCTTGGACCTTTATAAGCAAATACTTCTTTAAAAAAATTTTTTTATTACTAAGCGGTTTCACTTTGTGTCCAACCTGTCGCCCCTTAATCTGTTAGAGAACACTATCTTTAGTAAACACACTACTTCACAAAAGTCTGTCGGAGACCACCATATTAATGACACATTCAGATTAGAGCAATTTGGTTACATGTCACCTGACATCCGATGCATGTTACTTCCTACTGGGAATCTGAAGGACTGGCTGCCCTTAAACATTTGGGAAGTGTAATTCATGGTACAGTACAGTTACAGTAATGCTACACAGATGTATCAAGGCTGACGGAGAGCCCATTTCCGATGCCAGCCGCCACCACGCGCTTAAAAAAATGAAATGAAAAAATTGTTCACACAGTACCCTGGAGGTCAAGGTCAGGCGGAGAACGGGTTGCTTTGGGCTGACCGGTATCTCTGAAACGGGCGGCTGCGCTGTGGAGACCGACACGTACGGCATGCTACTAGACAGACGGAAAATGAAAATTACACACTCAAAAACAAAATGTACCGAAGCAACACAAGTAAAGGCCATTTTTTCCACACCGGTCCACTGTTTAACTGAACTCCCTTTAGCTATCCGAACTCCGAGGCCTAATACTTCACACGCCCTGATCTCTACAGCTAACCCTGACCCTCTCCAACATACATGTGTATATATTAACTATACTCAATATTCTGATTTATATATTAAATCATATATAAACACATACATGTTTTTGTCTTTTTTGTTTGTTTTTGTCCTCAGAGGACATGCGTTGCCGTCAGGCTGAAGAAGCGGTCGCAAAGAACCCCTCGCTCTTCCGCCCGCACAAAGAATCCGAGAAGTGTTACGGAGAAAGGGGCTCCCGTGGTCACAAGAGCTAGAGCGCCAGTACGCGCTCGTCTCTTCTGGAGTCCGAGATGAATGCGAGATGAGTGTGGCCAGGCCGAGACTGGGTGATCAGAGAAGTTTCGCTATGTTAAGATATGTGCAGTAGAAGGGATGGACACAAACTCCCTCAGGATGTTCTTGGCCATCTCGATATTGTTCTGTGCAATCATAAGGGCTTTTTGGATGTCCTGATGGGAGTAGCCCTGGCTCAAGAGGTGCTCGATCTCACTGCTGATCTGCTGGCTGGGCCCTGGACTCGCTCCGGGGGGAACCGGGCTGGGCCTGCGATCCGAGTTGATGCGACGGGGGAGAGGCTTGGGAGGCCGCTCGGGGGCTTCAGAGGGGTCCATGACTGCCAAAGACAATTTACAACAAACATTGTCTCTATATTTACACACTGAAGTCTGAGATAATGGTCACATTGCAGTTGTTGTTCTAAAATAAGCAAACCACGACACTCTCATGGGGCTGAAATCTAAAATAAATATAGGTGTAAAACGGAAATTATACAGTACTATACTTACTTTGTAAATATATTTAAACTTTACAATATAACACAATATAAACCAAAAGATTGGCCACAGATGACTTTTGCTTAAAAGCATGAAGCGGTTTTGTAGACGAAAAAAAAATTATGCCAACATATGAAAAGAAAATGGATGAGTTGGATAAAATAATAATAATAGAGGAATATATTACTTGAAAATCTAAAGACGAAAATTAAATAAGTACTACTAAAATAATTAATTGAAGAAAAAAAAACTGGAAAAAAAAGATAACCACTTAGAGAAATATTTAATATCAAATACTATTAAAAATTTAGTCGAAAAAAACAAAAATTAAACTGAAACCGGAAGATATTAAAATATTATTCAAAATATTTATAAATGTGGATGTGGTTTATGGGGACTCTCCATAGATGTAATAGATTTTATACTGTACAAACTGTATATTCTTCTGTCACCTAACCATCACAGAAAACTTTTGGCATTTTTTGAATTTCAAATAAATCACTTTAGTAATCACTGTTTGTTTTTTAAGCCATTTGGTTCACGAGGACATAGGACCAATGTTCCCTCTCTAAGCAGCGTGCGTGCGCACTCGCGCACTTCTGATGCCGCAGCCGCGCAGAAAAGAACAAAATGCCACGCAGAGGACTGACGCGAAATGTGTGGGGAAATCCATTTGATTGTAGTTTAAGTGAGAAATAATTTCAGTGCTCTGGTCAACCGCTATTGAGTGAAAACTGGTGAATGCAGTTTACAGGTTTCATAGAAAGAGAATGATGTGAGCGCGTGTGATTGGCAGTGAGTCGTGTGTGCGGACCAAATAGCTCAATACGAGAGGCAACGAGAAACGCAAAGACGTGAAATAAAATCACATCATAATGTTGGTATAACCAATAGTGGTTTGATTAAAGTGGTGGAAATAACGGATGATGGACAAAGAACGGTAACAATTACACACCCACCCGCGTGCAAATTCAAAATACATTAGTTTAAATAGATGTTTTTGTGTGTGGGGGAGTTTCAGGGATGGTTAGATTACTATAAAAGAGTTCACATATTCACTTTTCTTGAAAATATTTAGCTATTAGATCTATTTAAATGCTTCAGTTTGTTTTCATATTATAATAATATTTTATTATATTATAAGCCTAAATGAAGAATCTCACAAGGGTATTGTTTAGGGCTCATTGCCATTAAAAAATTTTAAACCCCCTAAAGAAAATATTGGAAATTCATAAGCAATAAACAATCATTTAACTTTGATGGTTTAATGCTTCCTGTACACAATTCATTGACTGTACAAAAACACTTTATGGTTTTCCCAAACCATCTCAGTGTAACAACGTACTTTTCTTTTATACTATATTCTATTATTAATTGAACTGTCCTGCAGAAGATTTAGTAAATTATTTTTCATAGGATTTCTTGGTAAAGACGGGTGCAGTTAACAGCACTGTAAAAAAAATATCAGGTAACCTAAAATGTGCTTTCAGTGACTTCTTAATTAACTGCTTGTTTTTCAAAAATATGATTTAATACCAATAAGTTACATCAAGGGTCAAATAAAATAGAAATGGCACATTCAAGTTAAAAGTTACAACTGAATGTTGAAACCATTGTGTTTCTGCGTATGCTGTACAGGTCAGGTATAAAGAATATTTTTGCTCAGGTGGCGAAAAATGTCCGCCCAATAGAAAAAAGTTTTGCTCAGCAAGAAAAAAAATTAGAGGGAACATTGCATAGGATGTGTCCTCATTAATCATGTTTATGTAGTAATACCCACGTCATTATACACATTTGTATCCCCATAAACCATATATACAAGAACACACACGCACACATAAATAAATAAAAATAACACTGGGCATGACTTACTTGCGGTTGCACCAAGCTCGCTGTCTATGGAAAGGCGGCTGAAGGCTGAGGATGTGGGGTTAACATCTGAAAGCGTGCGTCGGGCTAGGTTGGCAGGTAGATGGGGCTTGGGGTAGTCATAGCTGTTCTCCTCCTCCTCCTCCTCCTCCTCCTCCTCCTCACCACATGCACCAACATGATCCCTCAGGCCATTAGAGCAGGTCAAAGGAGGCAATTCAGAGTAATCTGAACAAGGACGGACACACAGTATTTCACATGGAAGAATATACTGGCAGACTGTCTGTATGAAGATGAAGATCTTCACACATCACAGTACCTGAGTCTCTGGCCTGTTGTGGTCCAGAGGTGGTGAGGGCCTGGGCTTGGATATTGTACATGGCTTCATACATCTGTGGGCTTTCTGACTCCAAATCATTGAGCAAACTTCTAGAGAAGTAAACGCTGAGTTTTAGTACACTGACAGAGATTGTAAATGTGCTTGTGAGTCTATTCAGAGTGTCTCTTTTGGTGCTCTGCACCTCAATGGGTGGTGAATAAACTTTACCTGGGACTGAGAGAAAGTGGAGGTGGTGGTCTGGGCACAGCCTCCCCTGCAGCAGAGGGCAGCACTGGTCGAGAAGATGGAGTCATGTACTCCGACTCCTCATCGTTCTCAGAGGCGTCCTCCCCTGTCTGCGATTTAACTGCTGGATGAGGCCTGTCAGCGCAGGACGAAGAGTCAACATATACTTGTGACTGTTCGCTTTTTCTAACAGGTTTATAGTGCGAGAAGTTCTTATTATTGCTAAAGGAACAAATGGACATGGCAAGATTTGGGTTTTGTCTGCGATATATACTGCAATATGAAAAAATACAGAAAATTTCACCAGGTGACTTGAATAGCTCGGTTTGGAAAGAATTTATAATTCTAGAATGATTAGTGATTTTGTTAGGGAGTGCATCTTTTTTATTTATGCTGAAAAATTACTTTTTACATTGAAGAGTTCCTTTTGGGGTTGAACAATTTGGAGAAAACAAATTCACTCTTTACAAGAACAAATTCAAACCCCTCAGTAACCATAATCAACAGATTAATAAAAAATAAAAATAAAACATAAGACATCCCCACAGCTTTTGACCCATTCAATACGACTATAAAATAATGTTTTTATTGTGATTAAAAAACATTAACAGAATAATAAATAGCAATTATACAATTGTAAAATAAAAATGAGCATTTAATACAAAAATAACATTACCAGCAGCGCATAAGAGATTGACTAATCGCATTAACCATATCATGATTTCGGTTTTATTTCGATATATATTTGATGCAGCCCTAGCTTTTATGTTGGGTTTGTGGCACCTACCTGATAGCCAAGGAATAGATGGCATTAGCTGAAGCAGACGGCTTTACTTTCGGGTTGTCGTACTCCGACCCAGAAATGGATGATACGAAACTCTGCACATTGAGCACATGAAGGTTAGATATGAATAAATAAAAAAATCGAATTGGGCTTATGTCATAGTGTAAATATGGGATGCGTGTCCTCACCAGCTGGTGGTCAAGACTGGGGGGACCATTGTTTCGTGGGCCTTCTGTTCTTGCGTCGAGCGTGGAAGGAAGTTGGAGAGGCAGAGAGTGTCTGTTAGAGAGTTCTCGAGATCCACGAGACTCTCCGCTTGCTGGTGGCTGTGATGGGGCTTTGGGTACGGGCCGGGAGTTCCAGTCCGGCATGTTGCGGTTAGGAGGGGCAGGAGGCAGTTTGTCGCGAGGAGGTTCTCCGGGTGTACTGGGGAGAGGGCGTCTTGGGAGCCGGTTGTCAGAGCCGGTAGGGTGAGGTCGGTCTGGGGGAGGAGGTGGCGGCAGGTCCCTTAGAGCCGGGGGCAGCGGTAATGGCTTGTCCTTGTGATGGGATGGGGCCTGGATTGTGAATGATAAATGAAGTGTTTAACAAGAATGCTTAATACAATCCAAACTGAGGTACTGAGCGTAAAAAAAAACTTGGCGAAACATTCCGTGCAGTGCATTTACCTTGGATGTGGCCCCTGGACTAGAGGCCCCGGGAGGGTTGGTGGGTCTGAGAGGAAACAGATCCAGCCGAGGAGGTACTGGGGGAACGACGGCCTGAGGGGCGACTGACAGCGGTGAGGGCGGCCTTTCCACCTGAAACAAGCCAAAGCATTCAGCATACATCTATACGGATTACTGATGCTAGATTCTCCAGCCATCATTTCAAAGCCGTTACAGCGATCTGTGGCTGAGGAATAGTGAAGTGTCTGCAGGAAAAGTTATTTGGTTTGGATTTGTGGGAATTCCTATATTCAACTTCAAAATAGGAGCATCAAACACATTAAAAAATATATATTTACTGAGGCAGGTGACAGCTAAATCAATTCTGTTCACTGAAAAACAGGTTAAGGTGTAGAAGGTGACATCTTTTTGCAGGTTTAGCAAAGCTGAATGGTCCATAATATCATTAAGAGAAAGTAATTCTCACTTTAGAACCGACCAGCTTGCTAATCATAAAAGGAGAATCCTCCAAACGATCGTCGTCGTCATCGTCGTAGCTGGGCGAAGGGGCTCCCTCGGCTCCAAACATGCCCCTGCAGCCTCCGTAGGAGCCTCCGCTATTGGGGTCCTTGGGATCAAAGGGGTCAACAACGATGGGCTCGGTGCCCTTAATTTCACAGCGACAGAACGGGCAACCCTGTCCTTCTGATTCCTATGAGAGAAAAGAACCGAGAATGAAGAAAACATGCACGGGTCTAAACAGATGGATGGCTGTAGGGTCTTCAGCTTTACCTGCCAGGCTGTGAGACAGGAAGTGCACATGAGGTGGCCACAGGGCTCGATCTTCACATCCTTGTCATTCTCAGCACAGATCTTACACAGCTGGAAGGTTGAGCCCATCTCACAGTAGAGTTCATATTGCTCCTGTAGGAGATGAATGATGGGTATTATTCAAATTAATCAAGATTCAAGATTTAGGTGGCTGACTGACAGAATGAAAACAAAAACAGACCTGTGTGACTTTGATATGGTCTTGAGGCGAGGGCTCACACAGCCCTGTGAGGTCAGGGTTCTGAGTGCGGCCATCTGGGAAAAGGTAGCTAAATAGGAATAAACAGTCTGTAAGGTACACTTAAGATCTGAGAGGTAAAGTGTCACATTTAATGCTTCATTACGCATCTAAATGTGTGAATGGATGATCGCCGTGCTGAGTTTTAGACTGAGCCGGTGTTTTGACTTACAATCCTTCCCTAAAGCCATCGATGAGGGCCTGGAAGAGGGGTTTGTTATGAGGAATGGTCTGCAAGATATTCCCATCAGCCGTGACATAACCGATAGCCCACTGGCCGAGCCGCGTACAGCTCAGCCTGAAGATATAGCTGAAACCAAGGGCAAAACGTGACCGTTACAACAGACAATTACGACATGAGTTAAAAGAAACAGGACAATCTAACAGTGTCAGATCAAGCCATCGTTGAGAAACTGGTCTCAGTGCATTAGTGTTGGTCATATGATTGCTTTTCTTTGCAATGAGAGTGCTTGTGACATCATGGTACTTTTACAATACATCTATTGATTGGAGGTACCACGCTGTCCTTCGGTCCACTGAGAGGGGGGTTTTAAGCGACTAACGGTGCATGTAACTCCCGTCACTGTTTGTGTAAGAGTCGCAGATAATGCTGCTGTGACTGCTGACGCCACGAGCACGTTTGAATGAAAAACACTTAATGGCTGGAGCCCAAAGACACCAAGATCATCGAGTACTGAGATTAAAGGGATAGTTCACCCAAAATGTTTTATTCTGCCATCCTTGCCATCTTGTTGTTCCAAACCCATGGTGTCCCATAATTTGTGTTCTGCATTTCACCCATCCAAGTGCACACACACACCCGGAGCAGTGAGCAGCCATTTTTGCAGCGGCACCCGGAGAGTGATTGGGGGTTAAGGTGCCTTAGCCAAAGGCATCTGAGTTGTGAGTAATGAGAGTGTAAGAGAGCTCTGTTCATTCAGGCCACAACTGCACCCATTTGACTTGATTAATAAAATAATCTTTTTTTTTTTTTTATAAAGTTTCTCAAAAATTAAAACTTAAATTAAAAACTTTGTTTTGCCATGTGATACTGCTGATGTTGACTGTGGGCAAATATATATATATAAAAATAAAAAGTTAAAATAAAATAAATAAGATAAAACAATGTGAAAAAAGATAATAAAATAATCATCTTTTTGTGTCGTTTTGAAGAAAAAAGTAATACTGGTTTGGAACGACAGGAGTCATTATCTAAATGACTAGATCGCTTTTTATTTTTGTGTGAACTACCCCTTTAACAGTGACGTGTGCATGGATGAGAGGTGCGGACGGTGTGTGCATTACCTGCCGGGCTTGTGGATGAATTTTTGCAGACGAGCTTTAACTTCATCATAGGTAAGAAAGGCCATGTACCCCGGATGAGTCACTGCCAGGCTGTTCCAGTTTCTTAGAAGTGACGACCATGGCTACATAAAAAAATAAAGATACACAGTTAGGGTTTTTTGTAAATAACTGACAGCAAATATACTCTTATATTGTATACTTATAGTCTAGTCTTTTTTGAGACGACCTCTAAATATCCATTTAAGAGATGACCAGAGGTCTGAGTCATAGAGAGACAGAGCATTTTGGGGAGGGTGTGGTGAGTCACTTTGTATGCCAGTGACACCAGAAAACTAAATGAACTCAGATCGCTGTATATAAACATCACTTAATGTCAGTCCAATTAGATGCCGATGTGAAGCCACACCTCACAACTGAGATAAAAATGTGCAGTGACACATACTGACAAATTTAAAACACATAAGTGTTCCTTCCTTTGCATAAGCTCATCCAAAACCACAGGACTTTTGCAATCAGTCACAGTTTATCAATTGAGACAAATGGTCAATATATATTCCATCAAGGGAGCAGGTGACACTATTTTAATTCAGTGAGACAGTATTATTTCTCAGAAGCCAATTTTAAAGGACTTCATTCACGTTCATGGCATCAAAACGGGTACTTCCTCTGACTGACAAACACTTCTGAGAATATAGACATGTTCCTTTTTTTTTTAAATTGAGTGCGCTGAAACCGATCGACAGCTTGCCCACGGCTCACGCATGCAAATTTCTCTGTCTAAAGATGTCAGAGCAAAAACTCACTTTCAGATCTATACAAATGGGACCCGTGTTCATTTTCTCTTTGAAAGTAATTTTATCAGCTCGACTAAGAATCACAGAGCTCTAATTGAAAGTTTGGGACACAGACGGACTGTCGTCTACACTTGAAATGTGTGATGCAGTATGCATTCAGTCGACGGACACCCCAGTTTGGTTTCTGTTGAGCTGCAGGGCTACTCTAGCCATTTTATTTTTACTGATTGTTTGGAATAAAATTATCAGCAAATATGGGTCAACCAATCCACATAGGGACCGACAACTTTCCCCCTCTCAGATGACATATTATCATTATTAAAGATCTTCAGTATTTACTACCATAACCCGAGATGCCTAATCATGCTTGTGTACGCTGAGCAAACACATTAAACAAAACCGGTTTTCATACGGAGGTATTCGTCTCACAAAGGTCCACTCAGGCCCCGTTTACACCTGGTATTAAGATTGGTTTTGGTCAATCGGATCACAAGTAGAAAAGGGAGACACATACCCGTTTACATCTGGGGCCTCATTTATAAAACTTTGCGTAGGATTTGCGTCAGAAGTGGCGTACGGATGAAACATAGGACGTGCGTACGCACAGAAATATTCGGATTTATAAAACCGTGCGCACGCACATCCTACGCATTTTTCCCTTAATAAATCACAATCAATTCTAAATGTAGCGCAGCTTTTGCGGCTTCATGTCACGCCCATAGTTGCCCATAAATAGTCCGTGAAACGCCCATAAGTTAATATTCATCGATTGCGAAATCATGGCAAACATAGAGAGGAAATAAAAAAAAACGTAACTTCACTCAATGTGAAGTAGAAGTTATCGTTGGCGAGGTGGAAAAGAGGAGAAAATGTTGTTTGGAGGGCACAGTGTGGCCATTACTAATGCCAAAAAGGCACTTGAGTGGCAAAAGGTTGCAGACGCCGTAGTGCTGTAGCCTCACAACCTCGGACTGTGGCCGAGATAAAAAAGAAATGACAAGCTACAGATGTCGGTTATAATCTACTTGGAAATGGGAAATAGTTCAGCGCAAATGTAAATACGTCATACGTTATTTTATCAAAAATAAAACAAACTAAAGGCATATGCATGAATACCATGATTCCGTAGCTGATAAAGACATTTTTACTATGAAAACAACTTTCCCCAGTGGACAAATAATACATCTATCTATCTATCTATCTATCTATCTATCTATCTATCTATCTATCTATCTATCTATCTATCTATCTATCTATCTATCTATCTATCTATCTATCTATCTATCTATCTAATTGCATCTATATCTGCTCCGCCTGACGGACACATTGGCGAGAATATCAGTTTTGTACATTATTTCGTTCTGTTTACCATCTTATTTATGAGGATGAATTGTATAACATGCCAATATTATTGCAGAACATATTTCACTTTTCTTTTTGCAAATATGTGTTAATTTGCATTTCTGTTGCAGATCGATCAAACGGGTGTTCGTGTAGGCTGTTAATTGTAAGACTTGCTTTGTGAAGTCTTCGTGTTATTTATGAGAGGCAGTATTGCCATTACACAACGGTCTACAGTTTCACACACTTTCACGTGTTTCTTCCATCTGCCGACGGTGTCGCCATTTCTCATTTCACCCGTTTTTGTGCGTACGCCTGGGTCAGAGCTTGCGTGAAGGACCGCACATTTTACCGTCAAGTTTGCTTTTTATAAATACCAATTATTGCTTAGAGAGCGGCGTACGCCTTCTTTTATGCGTACGCAACGTTTATAAATGAGGCCCCTGGTGTTTCAAAGCGTCTCTTTTGTCCACTTTCAACCACTTCTATCCTGATTTCTTTCAGGGGAGGGTCTATGGGCCAGTAAATGTATGTGTTTTTTCCAGATCTTTCGATCTAATGGACAAATTAAGCTCGCGCAATTTACATATGAATGCGCCCGGAGACGATGGAAAAACATACGGAGAGCATCAGCTTTCGTTTCTGCTCTGACAGCCGCAAGTCACGTGCTTGGTAGTTGGTACGATTTTCGTCTTCAAACCAAACTTGGGTCTCCAGCAGTTAAAATCTCATCTGGCAAGCGTGCTTAAGTTCCCATAATGTTTATGCGTTAGGTCAGTAGGCGGAGATTAGGGGGTCTTTTGCGGCTGTTTGAACACATACGACCACATTAGAAATTACACTACGAAAGCAATCCGGTCGAATGCGTTTTCAACTACCTCTGAAAGTAGTCGAAAGTGGACAAGCTCAAAATGTTTTAGACCCTGTACTTAGCATCATCCACTTGTGATCCAATTGACCAAAACGCATCTTAATACTAGGTGTAAACAGGGCCTCAGAGTCAAAAGGCTGTCGAATTGAAGAAATAAAAAAGCCTGTGACTGGCTGTCCAGCAGGGTGGGTTCATTCAGATGCTGATGAAAAGTGCGACCTTGCAACGTGGAGCTTCGTCAAAGAGCTTTGCGGGCTCTCTGTAAACAGCCAGTCTATTTCTGGCTGCTGGGCTGGTTGAATGAAGCAGAGGTACGGTGCAGCACAAGCGCTGTACGCTGCAACTGAAACGGGCAAAGGACCAGCCATGCCACAGCCGTTTTAAGCTCTCTAACAGACCAACATACCGACTTGAATTATGATGTGCTGTCAATGTTAGCTCGGTTATTGAATGTTTCAAAAAGGCCATATTCGATTATGGCTGCATCAGCCATAAAAATGATCTTGACCCCCCTTTTTCCTCAAATTAGCTCTGAAGTGAAGTAAGGGAGGCTAATTAAAGGATAGATGTGATTATGGCCTGTTGAGGAGAGAGAGGATGAGAAAGCCCTGGACCGCTGTGATGTCTGTGCTGGAGCACTCTGAATAATGAGCTCATTACACAGACATCACTGTGCTGCCAAGCAGCCGTCAGATGATGCATTCAACAGCTGCTATATTCTAGATTCCTATTATAATCACAATAGTCAACTGTTCCATGGAAAAATCAACATGACAAGATTTCAACATTTTCTGAAGACAATGTGAAGACAAAGGCAAAATTAGTTATCAGGATGCTGCGGATGGTGCCAGGGCATTGCAATGCATTTGTTTCGGTACACTAACATTCAAAGTTTGGGTCAGTAAGATTTTTTTTTTTTTAAAAGAAATTAATCCTTTTATTTAGCAAGGATGTATTTTTTTTTTTTTTTTTTACAAAAAAACCCCCGTTTTTAACATTGATAATAATAAGACACTTTTTTTTCTTCAAATCAGCATATTAGAATGATTTCTGAGGGTCATCATGTGACACTGAAGACTAATGGCTGCTGAAAATTCAGCTTTTCCATCGCAGGAATAAATCACATTTTAAATACATATTTAAATAGAAAAAAACAGCAATATTGCTGTTTTTACTGTATTTCACTCAAACAAATGTTAAATAGAACATTTTAAAAATCTTACAGACCCCAGACTTTTGAATGGTAGTTTATACATAGATGTCAATCTTGCGTATCATCTGTCAACCCTTATAGTTAAATATCTGAACAAACCCCAACCCCAAGTATGAGAAATAATAATTGTGATTTTGCCCAAGCAAGCACCACTAATTATGTGGTGCCAGTATAAAAAGTATCAAATCAAGTAAAAGAACAGAAAAACCTCAAACATCTCTGTTCTGCATTGTTGCTCTCATTGGGTATATAATTAGAGCAAAAAAACAACACCACAGAGGTTAGCAGAAGTTGTCATTAAAATAGGTCAAACAGATCTCTCTTCTAAAGCTGAGGCACTTTCAAATTGTCTTTCGCCCCTACTCTCAGGAAATTGTGTGCTCGGATGAGTGCAGACAAGCCTGTTTGAGCTACAAAAGGCGATAAGAGGCCTCCATTCAGGCTGGCTTTCAGCCATGAGAACTGAAGCTTCAGCACTGACACGCACACTCAAACAGCGCCTCCATACCCACAGCACACGGCCACAACAATAGTCATTGTCAGACCTTCCTCTACACAGAGCTCAGGGACAATGGAGCTAGTTTGTGCTTGGAGGAAGTGATTGAACGGCGCACCTGGAAAAGCCTGGTGAAGATGTCAAACTCAAAGACGGAGATGTAGTCGTTGCAGGTGAGGTCAATGGTAGATTTAAGCGCCATGGCCTCCAGGCCCGAGCTGATGGGGTGAAACTCATGCAGGGCCTGCCGGAACACTTTCCAAGGCACGATGGTCCTGAAATTCAAAGAAATTTAGGTTATGTTACCAGAATCAGACTGTCAAAGTCCATCTTCCTTTGTTTTTTCATGGAACATGGCGTGTTAATATGTTACGAGAACAAAGAGCACATTAAGCTTCTCACTTGTCCCCGAAGGATCTTCTCCAGAACTCTGCGGCGTCCGCTTTGGTGATTCTGAAGTTATCCCCTTGAAACAGGCCGTTGGGAAAGATGGCTTTGAGCTCCGCGAGCATGTGACTGAATATCAGCGACAACTTCGTCAGGTTCCGTCTGAAAAAGAGGAAAGAGAACAGTTACTTTCACTGAGAGGTTTGATAATTGATCATCTAAAAAAACAAACAAAACAAAAAACAGCCTTAGTAATTTAATAATGATTAAGGGGTCACGATAGTTGATCAAACTTGGCAAATCTTAACAGGAAATATCTGGATCTTATCAAGAGCAATAATAGAGGTAATTTTTTCCACAAATCAGCACAGAAACATGTAAACGTCAGCAGATTCTGGAGTCTGGCCTGGTGATTGGGTATTTCTGTGGCCAGAAGGCATAGTGAGGGAGTATCAGGGACTGAGGTGGACGCTCTGAATGCCTGCTGCATTTTTCTGATTCCACCGACTCTGGGCACATAAGCCCAAGGCAGGCAGGCAGGCAGGCGAGAGCAGGGAGGGTCGCGCTACACGGCAGGGGGAGGAAGTGGAAAGAAAGCCATGATTTACAGGGCAGCACAGTGGGGGATTGTACAAGCTCTCCAGCCTAGGGAATTGACATGCACAAGAGAGAGTCTGAGTGTGGCAGTGCCGCAGCTGCCTCCAAAAACTCAATCTTTACTTGGACTATGAGAAAAAAGAGAGCAAGACCGAGTGAGAAAAAAGGGGTGTTACAAAACTGCAAGAGTGTAAACACTACAAAAAATTACAGTAAGCAAAAGAGAAAAATAGGTGTGTGCAAGCAATGCTTTTTTGATAACCATTATTATTAATAAAAATAAAACCAATAAATAAATTATACATACAAATACTAGCCTGTGCATGCATTTTTGCTACAAGGTAAACTAAAAGTAGTGGTTACACTTTATTTTAAGGTGACGTACATTCACTTACTACTGAGAAGGGTTGCACGGTATACCGGTACTACGGGAGTATCACTATACTAAAACTTCAAAATACTGGCGATGCCATTGTATTTTTTTTTAAACGGTAGTATCATCAATAGAGTAGTATCGTAAGGAATGTTGTATGTGCAGCAGGTATTCTATTTAAAACGTCAATTTGAACTCGCATGCCTGCAAAAACATTACAAAAGAGGATTTTTTGCTGCTGTGCCCTGTGTAGTAGCCTAAATGTGGTGTATAATTAGTGCCTTATTGACTGTTTCCCGATGCTTGAATGAGATAAAGTTGCAATTGCACGTCGTTGTTCGCACTGCAGTTTATCGGGAGAAAGGATCTGAAATTATAAATAAATAAAAATAGCAGCTCAAGCATCACTTAATCAACATCATAATATCGTTATATAAGAATGTATTCTCACATTTTTTCCGTTGCTCATTTGACCACTTCTGGAACAGTTGTAATAGTTCGTTTCTAGAAACATCTTTGCGAAGACGATTTAGTCGAATGTAAATCCATTCATCAACATAGCGACTTTGTACTCGGTTCTTATTAATCATAATAATGTGATGAATTTTGTTTCATTTGATGGTAACAATAGCCAGTTTTTCATTCTAATTAATGAAGTATTCTGAGGAAAATCTGGTCTGTTTTTTACTGTTATTACTATAGTAAGTACATGTAACCATGTCACCTTAAAATAAAGTGTTACCAAAGTACAATCCATCCAACATTTTGAAATCCCACGGTCCTCACAGCCTGGGTTTACATACTCCTTTATGGCTTTGGGAACAGTTGTTGTTTGTGGCAAAAGGGTGCCAATGTTCCTTCTGGTTAAGCCGGCTGTGCCATGCTTACTCAGTCCACGAGGACATATAAGAGAAGTAAAGCAATGGCATTTGTGTGGTGAGGCTGCAGGCCTTTGGTGTTATAAAAACCGGCACTTTCAACCAAAATGTTTGCGAACGTGCATCTTTGAAACCATGAGGGAGAGGAGAGGCTTTCGTTAGGAGATTCAAACTAACTAGGGCACAGATGCACAGAAAGACAAAGCTCATGCAGCAGGACCCACTCAATCACTCACTAAAGCTGTCGTACTGAGGACTGTGTTTGTAAGCAGCACTCAGTCAGAGCGTCTCTCTTCAGAACAATAAATAAACTCCCCCCAAACAATCATAATGAATGACATTTCAAATGCCTAATGATGTCTTTGAACAGGCTAATTCATATTAGAAAGATGAGACCAATACATGTATTCAAATGTGTATGCATTTTAGAGCTGCACGATTAATTGTTAAAAGATAGCGATCTCGATTCAAACACCCCCACGATCTCGGCGATGTCTAGTAAACCTTTGACAAGTACGATCACAGCGAGCATTCAGATCTGTGTTCGTGCGGCCGCTGAGCCAGAGAGAGCAGTTGTCATGTTTAGGTGTGAATCAGCTTCACAAAAAGACTTTCAACCACGCAGTATCATTATTTTTGTGTTACAATTAATTCAAATTATCACAGAAGTACTGGTATAAAAATGTACAGTTCGGATATAAACAATGATGTCTACGGTAGCGATCTTTTGCACGCAACTTGACGCTTCAATTAACGACTGTATCAATTACATCATTACATTCAAGAGATTTGTTCAAAAACGCTGATTCATCCAGTAATGAAACGAGTGAAGTGTTTATGAGTGAGTCATCCAATCATTCATTCAAATAGATTAAAATGTTGTTGTTTTTTATTCATTAAATGTTTTAAATAGACTGGAACAATTAACATTGTCAGAATCTGTAATAAAATTACATGTTATTTTGTTTAGCTGTCTGTTCAGAATCATGATCTATTTAAAAAAACAACAACAAACAAACGTGATTTAGGCGCAGGCATAGTGCCGGACAGAGTGCTTCATTATTGCTGTTTCATGACTGCATGCTCCTCCTCCCCAATCTCTCGGTTGGCCGGCCTCTCCTTGCTGTTGCTGTAGGCCAAGCCCTGCCTAGATACTGTGCTTTTGTCAGCTTTCCTCCTCTTTTGGCCTGACCTTTGACCTGCAGCTGGCTGCTCCCTTCCTGTTTCCTGTTTTCCATGATAAAACAGGCAAGCCAACTGGAGAAAGCGAGAGCGGTCCGCTCATGCCCACGGCTGATTATCAAAGAGTCTACAGTTCAGAAGAGTCACACCTACAGTCTCTCTTTAGCACCTGCCTTCATTTGTCCACACACACAAAAACACCAGAGCAAGTTTGCACTAAATGACACGATTTCAATTGCTCAACTTATGCACATTTCAACAGCCAACTTCCCTAAAACATTTAATATTTCCCCAAAAATATGACTTGAGGGTGTCCAAAGAAGGGACTTTCTCTGCAACTGGACACTATTTATGTCGAAACACTGCGTTCATGAAACTACTCAAATGGATCATGGATTCTGTGTTTTCTTGTCAACGCAGCCACCCCAAGACGAATTTAACTGTCCAGAACTGGCTTCACACCGGATCTCTGTCAGGAAGTGGTGGTGACAGCAGTCATACACTCAAGCAAACACACACACACCCCTTTACATAAAATACACAAACATGGTGCCCTGAGATTCAACGCACTCACACAAACAAATTTTGTTTAATGATCTGACACCATCTATTCTTATCCACGGTGTCAGGTGATTTCTAGAAAAGTTGTCCTCTGACAAATGGTCTGTTCTGAAAATGCAAATAAACTAACTAAGCAGTAACCATGCATAGCTGAGATAGCAAAATAAATAGGCTAATCTGTCACTTGGTAGAAGCTAGTCAAATGAAGCAGAAGCCAATATGGACAGGTTGTGTGACATGTCATCATCCCCAAAAAGCAAAAACAGAGTAAATATGTGAAGTTTGGGATCTGTAAACAGTAATTTTGTGAAATATTATTATAATTGAAAGCTGTAGTCCATAACTTTTGGTGCTCTAGCGGTTAATAAACAGAACTGCATGCGACTTGCGGAAGAACATTGTAGCCAGAGCTACTTCTCTGTGTTTATGTCTACAACGACTGACGAGTCACGCAGGTACTGGGCTACTCCACAGCGGTGCCGACCTGAACCAGTCTGAAATAGTCCGAATATAAACATTTATTATAGGAGTACCATAGTGATTCAGGAAAAGACAAAAACACAGTTTGGTAAATGGATTCATGATGTACTCGCTCATTATATACATTTTGAACACACAAAAAGTTACGGACTGCTGCTTTAAAATAACTTTTCTACTTGAATATATTTAAACAGGTAATTTATTCCGGTCACAGCACAGCAGAATTTTCAGCAACATTACATTACTCAGAAATCATTATAATATGCTGATTTGATTCTCAAGAAACATTTCAGATTAATAGTTGTGCTGCTTAATATTATTGTAAAAACGTGTGCGATAAATTTTTTCATGATATATTTTGAAGATTGTCTTTCTTGGGGGTCCAACAGGTTTGGAATGATATGAAGGTGAGAAATAATAACAGCACTGTCATTTTCAGGTGAACTATCACTTTAAAGAGCAGTTTCAGGGGAAGAACTAAAGAACAGACTGAATGCCAGCTCAACATAACCCTTGACCAGGAAACAGGAGAACTGTGACTTTGAAAGCGAAAGAGATGGGAAAGCATATCTGTTGTGTGCTACATCTGGAGTGTATAATATAAGTGGAGAGTAATATAGCAAGAGTATGAGAGCTGCATTATCCGTTAGTATTCAGTAGGCCATAAATAAATACAACGTCCCACTGCTTGAGTGCGTCTCTCGACCGTGCTTAGCTGGGCTCGGCTTGGCTCTGTGTGGCGAGATGCAGGACGTAGTAACTCGAGCTGCAATACAATCCTCGGACGTGTTAACAGTGTTTCCATCCGAAGCGCTCCCTGTGTGAACAAACTCATGAAAAACTGACAAAACAATCCTTTTGACTTAAGTTCAGACGTGTTTACCGAATTATACACAAAACCGAATCATTGGCTGCTCAGCTCCATTAATTTCAGGGTTACTTGGTTCCTGCAATCTCTTGAGAACAATATAACTCGCTACACAATGAACAATAACAGTTTTTCTCGATTGCTAACACACTGTAACTGATTTATTTGGCCCAATTTCCCAAACCATTAATTCAGTTCTCAATACTATGACACACTTCTTATT